GAAGTAGAGTTTTACCTAAAACAAATTCTCAGAACCCTATCGATAAACCTGACAATACCAAGTTATAGGGGTGATGAGAGAAATGGCAACTCTCATACAAGGCTGGTGAGAGGCAAATTGTTACAATGATGAGAGAAAGATTTGCTAGCACTCAATAAGCCTGAAGTGTTTCATACCATGATATGAGAGTATATTCATTCTAGTACTGTTCAGAATTGAAAAATGAGAAAAGTGAATGTTGGAGAACAGATGAATGATTGCAATATAGTCACACAGCAATTCCATAGATTGAACCAGAGTCGCATATGTCCACATGGTTATATCTTAAAAACATACCAATATGGAGTGAAAAAAGGCAAATGAAGAAATCCTTAAAAAAATCAGGCAAAAAGTACTGTATGTTATTTTATGGATAGAGGCAGATGAAATAAAAATATAAAAACATGTCTGGGAAGGCAAGATGCAGCTTTCAGGGAGGTGTTCCTCTTCTGTTGCAGGGAGGAGCACGGGACTGGGAAAGACAAAAAGAGACCTTCAGCTTTGCCTTTTTTATTATCTTAAAAGATGACAAAATGGCCAATTATGAAAAAATGGCAATATGCATGAATTCTGGGTAGTGAGTATGTGAGCATTTATTGTATTATTTGTTTCATAACATACCATAATATTTTCAAAACAGGAGCACATCAGAGGAAAGAAAGGGCAGATGAAAGATGAAAAAAAAAGGGCGCCTCCAGTAATTACGGAAGCGATCCCGAAGTCACCAAATCAAGAGCCGGAGCCCCACACTCACGTCAAGAGCAAGGGCACATGCGTTTAGTATATGCTAAACTGTGCTCTCATCAAATAGCTCTAATTTCCTCCTTACACACATTGAAATGTGGATAAAGGAGATCTAGAATTTGAACCTCTCATCCTTGGCTTAAAACTTGCTTACATGGCACAAAGATTTTTGTTTGTTTTTGTTTTTGTTTTTTTGATTCATCGGGCTAGATCTTGACACAGAAGGTGGGCAGTCCCTTTCACACAAGGGGAAAATATGAATGGGCCAGGGAATGGGGGTAGGGGAAGCTGGGAGGTGGATGATTTCCATGAGGGGATATTCCCACAGCATCCAGGATGCAAGACCCCTCCAGCTTACATGATAAAGGCAAGCATCACACTCTCCGTGAAAGCGTTTAGCTGGGACCCTGTCTCAGACGGATCCTTCTAGCTTAGTTCTGCGCCCTCTGATTTATTACACTGGGTCGCCAGTTCTTAACTGGAACCCTACTGCAGACATTCAAGTTCTCTGAAGTTCTCCAAACCCGATCCCCTAAGAAACCCTACACTTATTCTCGAATTTAGCTGTGTTCAAACTGGGGGCCCCAATTTTGAAGGATGAGGGAGAAATAGTCAATATTTAAGCCCCAAGCTGTGGTCAAGGCTGTCGGTAAAGGACCCACATCACTTCAGAAACGGCCCTACTCTCAACACGTAAATCAAATAAGGGCACTTGCTCCTCTGCGACGGGCCTCTAAGGACTGCTGCCCTTAATGCAATAACAATTGAATTCTTTTGTCAAGGCCCAGCAATCATGTGGCTGCTGTCTGTTTCTTAAAACCGCCTCGGGCCACTCTCTTTCCTCTTGCTCTATCCTCCAGCCACCCTGTCCTCCTGCAGGCCCAGGCTCCCCTCTGCCTCAGATCTACTCCACCTGCCCTTTGCTCTGCCTGACGGGGTCTTTCCGTCACTTTCCCCTTGCCCAGCTCATTCTCACTCTTGGGAGCAGCAATTCTCAGTCTCACTGGGCTCTGCCTCCCACCACCAGGTTTCCGTTTAGCTGGTGTTAGTTGGGGCCCTAAGAGGAGGTCTGACGTAGCAGCAGAGGGGAGAAAAACTGCTTCAGTTTAGGTATCACCTCATCAGAGCCCAGGCCCCTATTTACAGAGGATGTCTCCTTTATATGCTTTATCCCAGCTTCTTCTTTTCCTCCTTCAGAGGTCATGCTAAGGTATGTTACTTATTTAATGGATTAGCTTTAGATCCTTCATTTCCACAGAGCAGCGGTTCTCCACATGCTGGGATCACCACCATCAGCAGCATGTGGGGACTAATTAGAAACGCAAATTCTTAGGCCCGGTCCCTGACCTCCAGGCGATGTGGAAGCAAGCCAAACTCCAGACCCACTGCACAAGGCGTGAGCTCTAGGAAGCCAGGCCCTCACCTGTGCCGTTCACCCCGTGTTCTTGCTCCTCCTGTGTAATTCACATGTGAATTACAAGGCAAGTGAAAGGACAGAAACAAACTAACAAAAACCTGAAGACCAGTTTTTACTTCCTTTCTTAGAACCTTCTAAGTTAATTCCTAACGGACTTTTCTCCTTGCTCACCATGAACATACACAAATGTGTACATGAGCTATAGGTGCCTCCTTTTATTCCAGAAAACTCAATAAATTGAAATGTACCCAAAAATAGTTGTTTTGTGGGCAGGCATCATTCAATTATTTCCATTTTAGGACTATGAAGTGAGCTGATTCATCTAAGGTTGCTGATAAAGTTAATTTCCTCAGGGGCTAAGGTTTGAGAAGTAGAATCGTAATGTCGTGTCCTTTCACTTCTAAAATATGGAATCATAAAGAACGCTGCCAAAATCCTAGGCCAATTCTGTACCTTTACTGAGCAGCTTGAGAGGGAGTTGGAGAGACTGGGTCAGGGTCCCACTGGGGGCTACAGGGAGCTGGCCTGGAAGCCAGCTCTCCTCGCCACCATGTGGCTAAAATTATCAGTCTAAATAGCTGATGTGCTTGTTTTCACAAAACCCCAAATATTTTTGTGCCTCCTTCCCACAAGTTTCCACAGTTCCCCTACCAATAAGTTAGAGTTTGAGGAGGCAGGGTCAGTCACACCAGTAACACAGCAGGTGAGCTTGGAGTGGGTGATGATTCAGTCCCCCTTTCTGAACACGGGTGCAGAGCCCAGAAGCCAGGGACCCCTTTGCTCTCCCATCCCAGTGGGCTTTGCCAGAAATCAAGAAAGTAAGCACTCTGAAAATAGGACAATTCATAGTGGCAACAGCAAAAGTGGCTACAACAGCTGAATCCAAGTCTAACAGGGGTGGTCACCAGCCTAGCCCCTCACCCTCCTAAAAGCCAGTCCTGGGTTTATCTGGGACCACCCTGTTGTTTCCTCTGTACCTGCTTTTTCTTGGCTACAGCATAATGTATAAATCTCAGACTCTGAGATCAGACAAAATTGTACTCAAATTCCAGTCCCAGTATTTAGCAGCTATGTGAACTGAGAGCACGCAACTTACCCTTCCCAAGACTCAGCTGACTCAGCTGTCTGAGCAGGAACGTAAAGTAATAGCAGTAAGTATTTGTAAGGCTTGTTAGCGGATTTTGTGAAATGTTGTATGTCAGGGCTCACAAATGTTAACTGCAATTATTATTCTCCTCCTCTGTCCACATGCAATCTTTATGCCTATTTAGGAAATTTTTTATTTAAGGCTGGAAGGAAGGGAACCAACATTCCTTCAGTGTCTGGCTGGTACCTGCACTGTAATAGGTGCTTTATAATTGCAATCTTATTTACTCTGCATAACAACCCTGTGGGATAGTTGCTGTCAATGTTGGATAAGGAAACAAACTCAAAACTTAACTGACTTGTGAAAAACATAAACAACTAATAAGCAAAATAACTAATTAGCAAAGCATAAGAGTCAGGAATATGGCCTTTTGACTGTACTATTATGTTTTTCAAGGAGAAAAAGTAGGAGGAGTTTTCTCTCCTTTAATTTGCTATGTGCCTCTCTGCAATGTGTCACAGAAATGTGAGAAGCAATGTTGGGGAGAGAGAAATGAAGGGGAATCTATTTTCTCTTTAAGTATAATCTTGACATGCTACAAAAGTAGGCATGTAAATACTGTAATTGCAACTTGGAAATTCATTCACCATGCCACTATATATAGTTAGTAAACTTCAAAATACATTGTTTAACAAGAGGCTAACTTGTGTTAAAAGTCTTGAATATATCTATCTGTTCACTAAGCGATTCTTGTAGCAGTTCTGCCAATAAAAAATAATCAGTATTTTTATAAATGTATATAGAAGCATGCTTGTGACAGTCTTGTCTATATTACAATAAAAAAGAAAAATGAAACAAGAAACAATCTAAATATCCAACTATATGGAACTGATGGAAAATAAGTTATAGATTACCATGCAGTCATTAAAAATTATTCATCATTAAAAATGACATCATAACAGTTATTATTCAAGATACTTTAAGTAAAGCAGGTAAGAAAATAGTTTATAAAGTATGATAACACATACAGAAAATTGTATTTATAAAATAAACTTAAAAATTATTGCCTTAACAATGATTGCCTATAGATAGACCTATAGAAAATACATAGTTTCATTTCTGCCTATCATTTCTGCTTATCTATATTGCTGAGAAATTTTGTTTAATAATACGTGTTACTTTTGAAGAAAGAAGATGGTAATCGCTTAAGAAAACATTGCTTATGTAGTATAACACATGCTATCTAGTTAAACTTTCCTTCCTTTTTTTCCCCTGTTATTGTCATCCTGTTCCCTCTAAGAAAATCCAAATAACTATAAACCACAGTGCCCTCGTTTATTTTTTAAAAGGACATCAGTAATTCAGGTCAAGCTTTTTTTGAAGAATCCTGGACCTAAAGACCCAGTTTAGAAACATTAGAGGGGCTTGTAATTCCTACCTTGACAGGTACCCTTCCTTCGTCTACAAGGACAGCTGAAGGGAGGGCCCGCTTGCTGCTGTTTCCTCCACCGCTCTGCATTCCTCTCCCCTATGACTCTGCAGCTCTGACCCCATCTCTTCTCCTGTCTTTCCTCCATGGCAAGGCTGCACTCTCTCTACCTCTGCACTTTCCCCATTCTGGCTCAGAAGCTTCCAGACTACAAACACACGCCACTAACCCTTTGCTCTCTTTATTCCAATCCCTGTAGCGCACTGCCTCCCCCAAGTGAGTACCTGTAGGAGTCACTGTCTCAGTCCCTCTCTTCTCACCTCTCTTCAGGGGCTGGCAAAGGCAGTAATCTTCTCCACTGCAGAGAAGGGATAACCAATCTCCAGTTTTCCAGGGGCAGAGGAGTAGGGGAGGGGAAGTGTGGGATAGAAAGTTGGCTCTCTTCTAGATTCTGGGAGCATAAGAACACCACATGTATACGAACACAGCCAAGTTTTACACAGAAATAATAATAATAATAAAAAAAGATGTAGCAGAATGTTAACACTGTAGTTCAGCTAGATTATGGGTTAAGTTAGTTTTTATGGTACAACTGGGAACCCAGTCACTATTTTAAGTGTGTTCCGTATAATGACTTTCCATCAACTTTTGGAAACACAACCTGTCCTTAAGGTTTGGACTGTTTGGACTGAGTTTGCTTCTCTTAATTAAAATAATAAAAAATATTTTTAAAATAAAAGAGCTACTTTCATAAAATCCACTGTGTCGTCAAAGTGGCACTCACCAGCGATGTCGCCCAACATTTATCATGGAGTTCTCTTCTGGGATCCAAAATGTTCATAATAAGAAACTTGACTACATTACTGGTTCTGGCACCCAACTATCTTAAGAGGCAAAGACAAACAATGTCATTTTCCTTCTGAAAGGCATAGCTCTTCCTCTATTCTGAAGGCTCGAAGCAGAAAAAGGAACTCCTGAAGCCACAATCTCTCAACTGGCATAGTAAAGACTCAGCAGCTTTTAGCAAATGAACAACAGTGGGTCAAGCAAAAATTCCAAAGACTTGGAGGATGTGCCTGTGAAGCGCCCCCACCCTTCTCTGCTCTACATGAAGAAGATTAGATGTTCTCCAGGAGACGGAGGAGAGCCATAAAATCTATTACTTACCATTTTTTTTTAAGAGTTGATGTGCTTGGCATACGGCGACCCTGAGAATGCTGTAACTCGGACAGTGAATGTGCAAGTTAGCTTTGCAGAGTGTACTTCCTTTTTTAAACTGTGTGGTCTGTCCGGTTTTCACACATTGATATGTAAGGTTTATTTGCATGTTATCTCAGCCTTCAGAGCATTTGTATAACTGGTCGGTTCATCCAGTTATTACACTTTAATAATATGAGAACAGGTACAGGTGAAGTTTTGAAGTCTGAAAGACTGACATAGCCTTTTTAAACAGTGCCTGGATATTAAGTTCTATGTACATTATTAACCTGTTCTATAGAAAATCTCTATTTGTGGCTATCTATCTATCTATCTATCCATCATCTATCATCTATCTATCTATCTATCTATCTATCTATCTATCTATCTATCTCTATCTACTCAATGAATGAAGGACTCAGTCTAAAATGTTAACAGTGGTTGACTTGGGTGGAGATATTATTACAAGTAATTCTTGTTTTGTACTTTGCTGACTTTTTGACTTTTCTATTTTGAGTATATAGTAGTTGTTAAAATCATAATTATAATCTTAAAAAGAACAAAAGGATCATGATAATTTTAATAAACAATTCCAATGTATTTAAACCTATTTCACCAATATTTAAATGGTGGAAACATTCATAAGCTTATAATAGGATGTCATTCAGCTCATTTAAAATATAAAATACATGCCAGTCTAGGTCCATATGTTAATTTTTAGTAAAACTTGCTAGCATCAGACACCTCAGTCACTCATGCCAGTGAACTAGATATCCTTGAGTTAAGGGCATGGTATTTGATCCCTAGAAGCAGATTTCCCACAAATCATCTATAGTTCCTGTTTTAACACCTTTTGGTACATAGATTTATCTCCTTTATTTTGAATACAGAGCCCTGATACTAAAATAATTTTCAGGGCAAAAAGATCATCTTCATTTCTTCTTGCAAAGGAAAGACAACTGATTGCTTAATTTTGGGTTGCAAATTTCTTAAACGTCTTCTAAGTACTACCTCATTTAACTAGTAGAGGGGCACCAAATTTCTTCATTTGGTGCCAAGCTAATACTAATTATTACCATGACAATACAAAAATCCTTTATTAGAAAAAAATTTCCTTATTATTTATTTGTTAAAATGAAAATGTTTTCAAAGTTAAGATGTGATTGGAAATATGGATAGAATCATTGACAGGAAAAGGTGGAGCAGGCAGCAAATTTCAGGGGTAGAAAGGAGCTTGATACTACTGCCTTGAAAACCTTAGGCATTTTAAAGAAGAGTGGGGCTTGAGGAGTGGTCAGGAGCTATGTGTGTAGTCAGGAATCTGAAACTGCATAGTCTCTGGCACATGAATGCTCAATGAATGAATTGAGGAGGAAGATGAAGGTAAGACAGGTAGGGGGACCAGGCTTGCTTTTAGATATAACACATTTGCCAGAAGAAGGTCTTGAAATGGAGACATTTTTAAACTAACCAGAAAGCCTCTTATCCATTATCAGCTGAAACAGAGGTTAACAGTGCAGGCACAGGATTGGATCAAAAACAGTGGTTTAAAATCACCTGGGAAGGTTTTAAAATTCCTAGGTCCCAGGCTTCACCCCAGACCGTTAAGTCAAGATTTTTTCGTTTGAGACCCAAGCATCAGTATTTTTAAGTTTCCCAGGTAATTCAAAGGTTCAGACAAGTCAGATCTCAAAGAGGAGGAGCAGATGACTAACACTCATGAAATGGTAAACAGGTCCCCATGCAAGCTTTGCAGGTAGAAATAATCCCAACACTCTGACACTATTTACTACTGGGTTTAATAATGTATTTTCACCATGCACTAAGTAATAATTGCTTGTTCCTGATCATTCAATGATTGCCTCTCTGTACCAGTAAGTTGGACAAAAATTAGATAATCCACAGAAATCGAGCAATTCCCATCAACAGTGTAGCAACTGGACAAGTCTCCAGTTAGAAGAACCTTGCATTTCAATTCATTAATTTGAGTTCCATTTCAATTGGTGCTTATTTCTAAATGAAGATTAAGGTAATTTTTATTTGCTATTGACATCTATTCAGCAGTCTCTCAAAACATACATTTAAAGGAAGTATTTTGGCTAAGGAAAAGCAGGTAAGGGCTGAAGCTCCCAACCATAACCCATAATCCACCAAGAAGTTTTTATTTCTACTTTTTGGGCATAATCACTTTACTCTCAAAATTATGTATTTCAAGTATCATGTGTGTGAGAACATTTCCTGTGGAGTCAATGAAGTACTAAGTCTCTTATCAGAACGGTAAAACCGGAAACTCAGTGAAGATGACAGATAATATAGCCATATCATCTGAAGAAGATAGTTGTATTTTCATGGTATGGGCACTATACATTTATTCCTGCCAGTGAAAGGGAGAGTAGCTCAGAGAATGCAAAAGTGGTTAAAAGTCTTCAAATACTTGAGCATGCATTCTCTTTTCGTAAATTTGCATTCCAGAAGACTTTTTGTTTAGGGATTGGTAAAATGAGCCTGTCCTTTGGCATTCATTGAAAGTGACAAGTAGGTGGAGACAGTAAGGCCCGAGATAAGGGGTGGTTCACTGAAACCACCTTCATTTTTTAAAAGTCAATTTACAAGTGGATGAAGAAAGCAGAAATAAAAATTCATTATTTAAAAGCATTGTCAATTTTGTTCTATCAGCCTTAAAAAAAAGCATGGTTAGCATAGATGGTTAGAAATACTTATAAACTCTTACTTGAGTTCACCTTCCTGAAATGACAAACCTTCCATGGAAGAAACAAACCATTATCTACTTTATGTGCCCAGCACTAATGTGTCTGCATAAGACCCCCAAGTTAGGAGAACAGAGGGATGTTGAGTCTCACCTCTTCCAGGAAGCCTTCTCTGCTGCTCACTCTCTCCCCCTTTTTGTGGACTCCTGTAGACTCACCACGAAATGAAGCTATTTAATATATTTTCCTTTCATGGTTCTCCCATGGTATCAGCTGCTGCATTAAGTCTGGCTCCCTAACTGGATTTGAAACTCCTCCAGTGCAAATTAATTTTCATACTTCCTTCTGTCACTCTAAGATCCTAGAGCAGCTTTTATTTTTTTAAAGTGTTTTTGGCTCATGGGTTCCTTTGAGAATCTGATGCAAGCAGTACACGTTTGCATGCAAAATCTGCTGTGTAACAGCCTCCTTTAAAGCCCATCGTTTATAGGAAGCTGTAGGAAAGCTCTCGGCTAAAATATTGTTAAACATTAGAACATGGTCACTACATTGCTGCTCTTTGATGATGAAATTAAAGCACAATGTTAAATGAACCCTCAAGTTTCCAGACTTGGGAACTGGTCAGCTAACACTTCCATGATTTTGCAAACTTGTCTTTTTTTTATCACGTGCATTTGAACTGTGCTAGCAAAGAACAACTCAAACTCACAAAATAGATTCATAGAAATTCAAGGAAATTCTAGTCTCCCTGCTTGGATAGATATGGAACTGCCAAATGGAAAGAGCAGGAAGAAAGCAGGATAAGAACAGGCATACTTGAAAAGACTGTGCGGGAGGAAATGGGCAGTTCCTTGATTTGGCTTATTTTTCTTTCACTTTTTGTTTTGAAAACAAAATGGAATTTCACTCTCGTACTTTCTATTTTCTCTGAAAGGAGGCCTTAACCCTTTCAGAACATCAGTACTCTGGAAGAAACAACTCATTTCAGTAAAAAATTGATTCATTTTCCAGCAGGAGAGTCCCCACTATATTTCAATAGGATGAGTAAGCTGTATTTAAACTCAAGAAAATCAGGGAACAATTGTCTTTATGATTTAAACCCAACCCCAGCCAAATGTTTACTAAACTCTAAAAGAACTGCTAAAATAAGACAATGGAGAAATAACTTTTAAGCAAATAAACTTTGCTTAAGGAGTCTTCCATCAAACCAATTAACTTGGGAAGCAAAGAGACAAAGAACAAAGTTTATAGAATTCTATGCTGTATATTAATTTACTTATCACTTTTTTTTTGCTATTTTGGCTATAATTAGTATTTTACCTTCTGTTGAATATTGTGGGTCTCATAAGGTTCTACAGAGTCTGTTGAGTCTTGCTATTCTCCTCTCATGGCTTCTCACCTCTTCAGTCTTGGAAAAGACTTCTCAGAAGTAGAATCTAAGTTGTAATCCTTCTATCTCACTGGATCTCCAAGACAAGGAGATTTAACTGACATCATCAATGTACACACCTTCATTGGGTTGGTCATTTCACTTGACAGTTTGTTAATAATTTTGCACTTAAGTAAATAAAGGGAAACTTCCTACATGAAAAATCAACCTTTCAATTTTTCCTTTTGTCCTTCATTAATTAATTAATTCTCAATTTCCTTCTCAACAGGTCAGTTAGTTCGGAAAGTTTGGAAAACAAAGAGATGTGCCTTGGGATTTTATAGGGTGGGTAAAATTGTAATATTTCCAGAATCTCTCTCCTGGCTTTAGTGCATCTGCATATCAATAGGTGTTTCCAAGGGGTGGAGAAGATTACATCTACATATCAATAGGTAATTACAAGGGCATGTGAAAGTTTATCTGGACTGGAGAGGTTGGATGGAGTTCTGCTCTCTTCTGCTGCAGCCTGGTCAAGAGAGAGACCGGGCGACTGCTTGTAAGAAATAAATGGGTTTCTTAACTTTATTTCTCTCTTTGACTGATTTTGGTTTTAGAGGTATTTTGCCCCAGGATTTTCCTCCCGGATTACATATAGACTCAGAGGAGATGACAAAGGGGTAACTGATCACTCCACCATTTCTTGAATTCTTATCCTTTCCCACTGTCAATTAATGGCAGGTATGAATATACTCATTTTCATAGATTGTTTAATTTTAAAATAGGAATATTTCCATTTCAGTACAGGATAAATAGGATAAATATTAGTGAAGCCTTATACTTTTTTTTGGCACTTTTAGAATATGATTCCAAAAATTTTAAAACAATTAAAAAATATCTCCAGATTTCACTTTTTCCTTGATTTTGTCTTTTTCCCTCCTTTCTCCTCCTCCTCCTCCTACTCCTTCCTCTCACCTTAGAATCACCATTCTTTTCATTCAAAAAGTGACTCAGACTTAGTCTTTTTTATGTCTTATTGTTCAAGTTAGTATTTGTCAGGCAGGAGCCTGCCTAAATACAAATTATTTATGACCTGACATAAACTTATCTATACCTGCATGTAACCTACTGACACCATTTCCTTTTGACCAGAAGAATAGGAATGTTTTGTGAAAG